TATAGGAGATTATCCATGTAATCAGCTCACTGAGCTAACAATTCCTAGGTGCCACAGGTACTTATTGTGCTTTCATGCTAGAGATTACTAAGGGTGGAACACAGCAATTAAGTTAGTAAATACTTGAAAAACACCTAATTAAAGCTTAGAACTATCTTCATTGTCTGGAAGCATCTCCCAAATTTTTAGATTGTGTCTTTCTCAGCTTCAGCTGACATGCCATGGACCAAATCTGGAACTTTTTAGCAGAGCATATTTACCATGGAAGTATAGTTAAAAGGGATTTTTCCTCCTACCTAATCATGGTTACTGTCCATTACTAGCAATGAATGGCTAGAAACAAATCCAAGTAAATTAATGTTTCAGTTGTAAGGAATTTGTGATTCTCTCTCTCTGTCTGATATGCAATGAGAGAGATACAGAGAGAGAGAAAGAGAGAGAGAGAGAGAGAGAGAGAGAGAGAGAGAGAGAGAGAGAGAACTTTCTTTAGTAGATAAGAGGATGGAGAAGAACCTTGAGTACTTTCTCCCATTTACAATTTGTCATTTGATTTTTTAAAAAGTAATCTTTCCAGATGATAAAGCTGGGTCTAATTTACCCATTAGTGAAAACAATCTTGTAAAGAATATCTGCCGACTGCCCGATATAAAACTTCACCATGCATCATGAAAAATAATCGCAATGCAATTACCTCTGAATTATAAAAACGTCAAATAGGTGCAAGTAAGACAAGAACTTATGAATATATGAAAAACTGCCTGGCACAGATATAATGTGTATGTTTGCTTTGAAGCTAACGAAGAAGGAGATATAGAAGGAGAAAGAAAAGTGGGATAATAAGCATCTATCATCCATTGATGCTAATAGAGACCATATTGGTGCCTTTCATTGAATCCTGCAGGGTAATAAAATCATTGCTGAACATGGCTAAGTGCCAACACATTAGTAGTTTACCATACATGCATGCATATAGTGCACACAGTGCACACAGTGCACACAGCCCATCATGCTTGCCATCTTTTATCCTTTCTATGTTTTGTTGATTTTATTGTAATTTCTTTAATTATTGTGAGCTTTCCAGAGTCATGGAGAACTGTGTGAGACATTTAATATATTACAGGTGGTCATCATTTAATTCAGTGACACCATTCAGAAGTGCAACAGCATTGAAAGAAGAGTTGAGGCCATCGCTGCATTCCTGTGGTCACGTGACCATCATTTGCAACCTTCACTGCCAGCTTCCAACAAGCAAAATCATTGAAGAAGCTGGCAGTAGGCCATAAAATGGTGATCAAGTGGAGCAACCAGGACTGCTGCCACTGCTGTTGTAAGGTATCATGGCCATGTGACATCATGCTTTATGACTGCATCGCCTAATGACCATTGCCAGTCCAAATCACAACCATCAAACAAGAACTATCTGTGTTGGTCACAGAGTCGGCCACATTTTTAGACTGGTTTTGGCATTTTTGTCCACCTATCGAGTTTTTCCCAAGGTCCTCAGATAGGCAGATGGTGTTAAAAGTATTGTCGCAGGATATAAGCTGTTTCAAGTAAAGCTTCATTTTGCAATTGACTGATGGAAATTTTGTAAATGTCGGTGGTGTTCAAATGGTGCTCCAATTGTTTTGGGATTGCACCCAAGGTGCCTTTCACTACTAGTATTATCTTTGCTTTCTTTGGCCATTGTCATTCTATTTCTATTTGCGAGTCTATGTATTTTGTCAGCCAGACGTTTAGGCTGGCTTAGGCATTTTTATCTACCTATCACGTTTTTCCCAAAAACCTGGGATAGGAAGATGTTTTTGTTTGAGGGTGTTAAAGGTATTGTAATTATACGTTATATGGCTGCAGTCATACAATATACTAAGTCATAAGCCAGGCCGTAATGGCTAGACCAGGTGTCTTCAAACTTGGCCCTTTTATGACTTGTGGACTTCAACTCCCAGAATTCCTCAGCCAGGCACGCTGGCTGAGGAATTCTGGAAGTCCACAAGTCCTAAAAGGGCCAAGTTTGAAGATCCTGGGCTAGACTCACAAGACAACAAGACAACCCGAAGCAACCCTATTGTGCCCTCCAGTAATCAGAAAGGAAGTTTATAGTGCGTATGTCTTTATTGCCTTATTTCCACACCTTTTCCCCTTTTAGTTTACACTGATCTTCCAAGAATATTACACAATATCTGAAACTCTTGTTCCTGGAAACACAATAAATCATGCAAATATATCCTGAGTTACAGAGTGGCTTGACCACTATTCCAAATTATTTAAAAGTATACATGCTGTAATACTAAATCTGAAAAGTCCCTCTTTGGTCGAATGGTTTTGCTTTCTAATATTTCAACTCTACCACAATCTCTCACAATACTTTGTAATACTGTAATCTGTAGAACATTTCCTTCTGTTAACCCAAACAGGCTGAATGTGTGAAATGTAAATTCCTGGGGAACTAAGAGACTCTCCATCTTTGATGACTGTGCTCTGACCTTTGCATATTTATCTAGAAGAATGTCCTGTTGTGAACAACGGGATCTACTTGCAAGTAAGTGTGCATAAGATTTCTCCCATGGAGCTAAGTGGTTTCAGGGTTGGGCCTCAGAACATACTACAGAACTGAAGGCTCAGCTACTGGCCAAGGACAAGAGCAGAAGGTAAGTCAACACTAACTGTCCTAAATTGAATTGGATTGTCATTTCTGCCATCCCAGAGTAGATTTGCTGGCTGGCGGTAATGGAAACTATTATCTACCCAATGAAAAGGAGACTAGATTGGAGCAGACTGCTTGCAATATTAAGAGTAGACGTATCCAGGCACATTTGTGTGATTGATAAACTGGGTTATCAATCAAACACAGCAATCAATCAAATTGGTGGTATTCACAGAGTGCTCTAAACAAAAACCAGACAAGCTACCTTATGTTTTAGCCATAATTGGATAAATAAGTGAGCAGGTTGTGTTAATTATTCAAAAAGTGTTAACTTTATGAAAAACGGTCACCAGGAGTTTACAAATATTCATTGATCACATAAAATACAAGAATTTAAATGTCTAGCATTCAGTTTAATGTTACAGTTCAAATTAATTCCAGCTGAAGACACAAATCAAAGATGAAAAATGATGAGATGCATGTTTTTCTCACAGGAAGAAGTCTCATTCATAAGAGGGAATGCAGATTAAGAGGTGAGTTTGCAGATTATTTGATCTATTTTAGCATAAAATAAATTTACCAGGTTTGTGAAAAGAAGTTGAAGAAGAGATGGGCTAAAATATGACACTTTTTTATTTAGAATAACTTGTTTGGTTTAGCCAGCCATTTTGATTTGTAAATCATGGTTTGTCTTTTTACCTGCATGTATATGCTGCTTACGCTTTGCAATACTGGCTGGTTTATGTTTTAGCCTGTTGCACAAACCTCCTGGCCTATGCAGTGGACTAATTTATGGCTTAATATGTTGCATGAACTCAGCCAATTATGGTTTATTTTTTAAAAAAAACATGGGTCCCTAAGCAACAGCTTAAAAATGTGAATCCAGCCAGTGTTTCCAATATGATGGCTATAGTATGAACTGTGAACCTGTTCTCTGATTTCACCTTAACTGAAATTTGCTTGCTTTCTTGTATAAATAGACAAAATAAATGATGTGAAAACAGGAAGGTTACAAACAAGTGATGTCTCTGCAGTTTTTCTTAATCTTGGCTACTTTAAGATGTGTGGACTTCAACTCTCAAAATGCCCTAGCTACCACAATGGCTAAGGAATTCTGGGAGTTGAAGTCCACACATCATAAAGAGACCAAGGCTGAGAGATACTGCTTTAAATATTAATGCATAGGGAAAAAGCCCCCAGCCTTTTGGGTGTCAGGAACAGTTCCATGAAGGCTGGTTTTTCCACAAACTGGGAAGTGGGGTAGGCATAGTTTCATGCATTGTCTGGATCCTGGGCATGTGCAGATGGGGCTTTGCTCGCTTGTGCGGCCTAGTTCCTGATAGGCCACAGATCAGTGCCAGTCCACAGCCCTGTGATAAGGTACAGTCTCTCTGTTTGAACTGCAAACTGACACCATAGATTCCAGCTATAAGAATTTTTCTGGAAACCTTGCAAAGAAGGTTGAGATTAGAACAACGTTGCAAGAAAGAAATATGTAATATATTTTGGTTTGGAGATATCCCAGGTGATTTTCTTCGTGGCTCCCAAACTTTTCATTAGCACTTTGCAATTATTTGGAAGAAGGTTTGTTGATGGAGATCCTACTCACTACACTTAAATCTAGTGGAATATAGTTTTTTTTTTCTAATTAACTTTCTTATCTGAATTTAACTAAGAAAATAGCAAAATGTATTAACGATAAGCTGTTGTTCATCCTGTAATGTGTATCCATCACATCTTTATCTGTTTACTTCCAGTTTCATTCGTGGCTGCTTAATTAAAGCATCGGAATATTAGCCTCAATGTTATTTTCTCAATCCTAATACTTGAATTTTGCCGAGGCATTTTATCTGTAACAGACAGATAAAGTTTGCTGCACATTGTATTGGATTCACATAATTTTAATCGGCAATTGTGGTCTGGAGGTAGGTGTAAAAGAGGGCACAGATCATGTTTGCCACCTAACAAGCTAATTAAACGGAGGTAGTTTTATTTTTTGGTAGGGTGGTGTTTTGGTTTTTTTTGCAAAAGTTGCGCCATCCTATAAAATTGATACCAATGTTTTGAATCTGTTTTTTAAACAGAATGAAAATAGGACTCGCTCTGAAAATTGTGGCCAAGGATGGAATCTAACACAAATCTCTCACTTAGGTGTTAATTATAGAAGAGGGTAAACTGAAGCACATACATACACAAACGTTCCATTGCTCACAGCAGCCTTCAAGCCATGCCTCTCTTAGACTTAAGACTGAGGCAGGAAGAACAGCTTCTGAGTCACATTTCCAAGGTAGAAAGAAGACAAGCCAATCCACTTGGCCTGGCTAGTTCAAAGTTTGAGAAAGAATTCCAGGCGATGGTTTGCTTACTGCTGGTGGAACTGTGTGAAAAATTTACTTTCTACGGCATCGTCTGCAACATGCTTCTTTTCTGCACCATCAAGCTTGGTTATCACAATTACGAAGCCGCCATGCTCAATGTTTGCTTTGCTGGGGCGTGCACGGTGGCCCCAGTGCTGATGGGCTGGCTTGCTGAGCACCCAGTGGGACGGATCAGGCTGGTGTGCCTGTGCGCCTTGCTGCATTTTATCGGTAGGTATCACTTTTTGGGGGGCACCTTATGGTAGCTGGCAATTATTTCCAAATTTTGATGGTGTGCACATGATGGCTTTATAAAACCTGAAATGTTTCTGTACCAAAGTGGACATTTGAGAAATGAATGTGCAGCATATTTTGAAATAGTATATTTGGCCTCTTTTAAAAAATATTTTACATTTTTTGGGAACATGTGTTGCATTTCCTGCCATTCATGCTATGAAAATCATGTAGCCCATAATGGATGAAACTAACTGGCCTTGAGACAACAAGCAGAGTTTTATCAAGTTTGAGGAAATTCAAACTGATATCAAGTTAAGGAAAGAATAAGTGATATTGTCCCTAGTCTTTCTGACTTTACAGTACTTCACGTTTTGTTTTAATTTCAGAATATTAAAGGTGGAGCTTTATTATTTTTGATGAATGGTTAATGAAAAGAAGGACTAGAGGTAACATGATAGCAGTCTTCCAATATCTCAGGGGCTGCCACAAAGAAGAGGGGGGGGGGGTCAACCTATTTTCCAAAGCACCAGAAGGCAGGACAAGAAGCAATGGCTGGAAACTAATCAAGGAGAGAAGCAACCTGACAGTAAGAACAATTAACCAGTGGAACGGTTTGTCTCCAGAAATTGTAGGTGCTCCATCACTGGAGGTTTTTAAGAAGAGATTGGACAGCCATTTGTCTGAAATCGTATACTGTAGGGTCTCTTACTTAAACAGGGGGTTGGACTAGAAGACTTCCCAAGGCCCCTTCCAACTATTATTCTGTTATTTATTTATTATGCCTTTTATTATTAAAAATCAGAACGGCAGACTGCTTCAGGAGTGTGGCTTTGATTGGAGGTGTTGACTTTAAAAAGGACAAAGCTTCAACTGAGATAATCGAGAGGGAGTGACAGGACAGTAAACTGTATCTTCTAACTGGCAAAGTCCACTATGGCAGCCATTTTGTTAGTCCCCAACCTCACATGTAACATAGGTAATCCTCGACTTAACAGCCACAACTGGGACCAGAATTTCCATTGCTAAGCAAGGTGATTGTTAAGTGGGTTGTGCCTGATTTTATGACCCTTCTTGCCATGGTTGTTAAACAAATCATTGCATTTGCTAACTCACACTGTTTGTTAAGCAAAGCTGGCTTCCCCCATTGACTTTCCTTGTCAGAAGTTGACTGGGAAGATTACAAATAACAATCACTTGGCCCTGGGGATGCTGCAACCATTGTAAATGCTGGTTACCAAATGCCCAAGTTTTAATCACATGACTGTGGAGATGGTGTAACAGTCTTAAGTGCAAGGACCAGTTGTAAATAACTTTTTTCAGTGTTGTAACATTTGTTCGCTAAACAAATGGTTGTAAGTCAAGGGCTACCTTTGGCCCTTTTATAAGAGCCACCATGATCTGCTCCCAACTTTTATAACGCACCTACAAATTCAAAAAGTCTTTGTTCCCTCAGAACTTCCCAAAATGACATGTCTATTTTATGCTTTCAGATGTTCCTCTTTCTTTCTGCAGGTACGGCCCTACTACCTGTGGTGGCCTTCCCTTTTGAGGATTTTTTCATAGATAAGCACTACGTCCTTCACACTTTGGCTAAAAAGAAGCAGGAAGCCCTCTTCTACATTGCGTTGTTGGCCACCTGCCTTGGCTCTGGAGGAATAAGAGCCATTGTGTGCCCTTTAAGTGTTTATAACCCCGATGAACATAGACCAAAGGAGCTTCTGTCCTTCTTCAACTGGTCAGTGCCAGGTGCAGGTGATACAAATGGTCAACTGTGGGAGGGTATCATTTTGGAAAACCTAAAAATGGTTTGTTTGTTGCAAGCTATGGAAATTAATGCCAAGGTTTCACTTGTGTAGTTAATTATCAAAGACGGCAAATAGTAAGGTCCAATGGTTGCTGATGAGTCAATTTATCACAGAAGCACCTCAAAAGTCATCTAGTTCAACCTCCTCTTGATCCAGGATCCTTTCAAGCATTTTAGACAGGTCTGTTAGAAAATCTCCAATGAAGCAAGACATATCACTTCATAAGGCAAGCTGTTCCATTGTTGACAGTCTTATTGTCAGAAAATTCCTCCTGATATCTGGAATTTCTCAGGCAAAAGAGATGAAATCCACTCTCCCTCTATTTAATGGCCTTTAGATTTCTGAAAACTCCTATATATTTCCTCTTAATCTTCTCTGCTGCAAGATAAATAGGTCCTCTCTCTCTCATCATTTTCAACATCTAGATGAAACCACGGGGTCAATTGCCAGCTTGGGGTTCAGTATCATGAGTACATTGAGGATACCCAGTGATATCTTTTGACTCAGGTCAATTGAAGCTGTCAAGCTTCAATCCCAGTATCTGATGGCTGTATGGATTTTGGATGGAGAGTAACCTGAATCAAACCTATCAAGACTGAGTGGCTGTGGATGTTTGGGCCACCTGAATCTGGGGATATTCACCTCTGATCTTGGACAGGGTGGCACTTTCCCATTTAAGGATGACGTGCAATGTGGGGGTCTTCCTGGACTTAATCATCCTGCTTGATGAGCAGGTAGCAATCATGGCCTTTGCGTAGCTTCATGGGTGCTCTGCAGAACTTTGTGCCAATTTTAACATTGCTTAGGTTGGGGGTCCCTTCAGATAGTCAGTCACTCCCTGTTCATCACACAGCTTGACTATTGCAATGTGCTCTGCATGGAGCTGCCTTTCTAGACCTCCTGGAAGTTTCAAATGGTCCAGAGGGCACCCATGCAAGCAGTAATGGGCATGCCTCAAACTGCCCGTGTAACAGCCCTGCTTCATGAGCTGCATTGGTTGCCAGTTTGCTTCTGGGTGCCGGGTTGGTCATTACCTATAAAGCTGCTAATGACATAGGGCCTGGTTACTTGAAGACCTGCTAGTCTCCTATAGTCTCTGCCCAGTTGATTGGATCTGTCAGGGTTGGTTGCACTCCAGGTTCCTCGAATTAAACAAAGCCATCTATCAGAATTCCAGAAGCTCAGCTTCTCTGCCCTCTGGAATAAGATTGCCCCCGAGATTTGAACAGTCCCTGCTACTTGTGTTTCGAAGGGACTTGAAGACCTTGTTCTTCTCCCAGGCTTTTGGCAAGGGTGACTGAAGACCCCTTTTGATTGTATGAGTGTTCCGATCTGGCTTGATCTTCCTTGGCATTTTTATTCTTCATTTTGACACATGTTAGTTTTGTGGTTTTTATCCTTTTAAACCATTTGTAAATGACCCATTTGTTGCTGGGAGCTGGCCAACGTGTGAAAGAAATTGATTATTGTTATCAGTTCTTTTCATCAATCCTCACAAGACTTCATTTCCAGTCCCTCACCATTATGCAGGCTTCCTCTGAAGAAACTCATTTCTTGAGCTGGATTTTAGACTGTGATGTCCAGAACTGTACACTGAATTCCATGTGGGGTCTGACTGGAGAAATCCTGCGATCTGGATCCTATGCTCCTCTTAATAGATCCCAAAACAGCATCTGTCTTTTGGCAATTGCATCACCCTCTTGACTCATGTTGAACTTTTGATCTACTAGAACACGCAGATTCTTTTCACAGGTACTACTGCTTGGCTAAGTCTCCCCTCTGATTTTAGCACAATTTTAATTGCAAAATTAAGGCTCAGACACTGTGGATGACTGTTGCCTTCATTTTACACTGAAACAAAAATTTAAAAACCCCACAAGTGCAATAAACAGAAAAGGTGTAGAAAGCACAATGGTTAGCAAAGCTCAGTCATATATTTAATACGGAATGGGTGGTTGGTTGGATATGCTTAGCTGTGATTAAAACTTTAACAGAGCAGTTCAGGTTAATTGAAGGACATTTCATTTTAAAGTTGTAAAATGTCTTACTGCAATTTAAAGCATTTGAAGGAAGTTCATCTGGGGAGTGTTTGTGGTCCTTCTCTGCAGAAAGACTCATGAAAATAGTGTTTGTAGGGGAGAGCTGAGCTATAAAATCGCATCTATGGTTTCCCTAGCAGAGGTGCATATATCTATATTTGGAAATGGAGGAGTGACTGAAAAGAGAATAGGCAAGACCTGTTTGAGAAAGGGTGGGAAAAAGAAAGGTTAAGAATCACCTAAAAGCAGAACTGAGAACAAAATTGTAAGGGAGATGAAAAGAAACTATGGATGCGCACTTCAGTAAAGTTTGCAGTTGTCGAATTCATGAATGTTAATTAACTTCTGGACCAAGGAGAAGAAATAGGAGCTTGTATAACTGTATAGCCATCCTTGTTTTTCTGGCTTGGATATGTTGGAAGCAGCCCAGGTTTTTCTTTAAATAAAAGAAAAAAGAGAGGGAGAGAGAGAGAGAGAGTTGCTCAATTGAGCAGGAAGCCTGAAGATCTTTCCTAACTGGGTAGTACCTTTCTTCTCTTCAAAGGTCTGGAGCTAATGAGGATCTTTATTTATTTTTATCTTCCTTCATTAGGAGTCTTGTTAACAAAGCCAAGTTCTCACTTCGGAATAGCCTCTCAGGATATTGTTGAGGTGTAAATCAAAAACTGCTTTTCTTTTTCTTTCTTGGGCAAGCATAAGGGTGGTGGGTTTTTTGTTTTTGTTTTTTAAGCAAGCAAATCGGATGCAACTTGATAATTTTTTCATCAGTGAGAGATAGCAATTGAGGTAAGCAGATGTGGTGCCAACAGCGGAACTGGAATAGCAACTTCCACGTCAGAAGAAGAAAAAAATGCACATGAAAAGAATAACAGAATAACAGAGTTGGAAGGGATCTTGGAGGTCTTCTAGTCCAACCCCCTGCTCAGGCTGGAAACCCTATACCAGTGATGGTGAACCTTTTAGAGACCAAGTGCCAAAACCGCAACCCAGAACCCACTTATTTATTGCAAAGTGCCAGGATTGCATCAACATTGTGGTGCCCTCAGGGGTGGGTGGGGGGCGTGGCCCACTGGGTGGGCGTGGCTGGGGTGGTCTTAGCCACCTCAGTGTTGCTCGTGGGGGGGATGTCTATGGTGGCCGGGTAGGGTTGGAGGAGATCCAGAGGGTGTCTGGTGGGTGAGGCAATGTGCAGGAGGCTCGTCCTGCGGGGTGAGGGAGAGGGCGGGGAGGGTACCTTTGCCATGGGGCAAGGCGAGGCAGGGGCAGGGGCGACTGCTGCCTGACACCATCGGCCCCCACACACAGAGGCCAGTGAGCGCATGGGGGCCGTCGGTGTCCGTCAGCAGCCACAGCTTGCTGGCCCCTTGACCGGTGCACTCTGGGGCTCCGTAGCCCGCTGCCAATACTGGGCCAGCCCTCCAGCAGCAGGTGGTGTAGGGGGGCACGTGATGTAGACCGCTGGACGCGCTTACCCATCCCATCTGTTTTTGCTTGCGGTTGGAGAGCAGGTTGCTGCTGGTCATCTTGGCCCCCTCGCAGATCTTGCCCTTGGCCCATGCATGGAGCCTGTTCCCCTCGCTCACCCAACCTGTGTGAGCTGCTGGCAGCGGCAGTGCACGTGCCCACAGAGAGGGCTCTGAGTGCCACCTCTGGCATGCGTCCCATAGGTTCGCCACCACTGCCCTATACCATTCTGGACAAATGGTTGTCCAATCTCTTCTTAAAATTTTTCATTGTTGGAGCACCCACAACTTCTGGAGGCAAGTTGTTCCACTGATTGTTTTAACTGTCGGGAAATCCCTCCTTAGTTCTAGGTTGCTTCTCTCCTTGATTAGTTTCCATCCGTTGCTTCTTGTCCTGCCTTCAGGCGCTTTGGAGAATAACTTGACTCCCTCTTCTTTGTGGCAGCCCCTGAGATATTGGAACACTGCTATCATGTCACCCCTGGTCCTTCTTTTCATTAAAATGGACATACCCAATTCCTGCAACCGTAGCACACGGTTGAACTGTGTGGTCCTTGGTACTTCCTGAGCTTTGTTGTTTTCTTGCAGACATTTCATTGCGCAACTAGGTAACATCATGATGATTGATGATGCTACCTAGTTGGTAATGAAACATCTGCAAGAAAACATCCAAGCTCAGAGAGCACCGTGGACCCCACAAAATAGGCATTTTAAAATTGATAGTCTGTTCTTCTTTTTGGATTAAATAGGAAGGTAAAAGTCAGCATTGATATTATTTGGTAGCAATGTCTTAAGCAGCATCTGCAATTCCACCCATGATGCAAACATGAAGGAGAGAAAGTATTCACATAAGACAGTTGAGTAACAGAATAACAGAGTTGGAAGGGACCTTGGAAGTTTTCTAGTCCAACTCCCTGCTCAAGCAGGAAACCCTATATAACCATTTCAGACAAATGGTTGTCCAATCTCTTCTTAAAAACGTCCAGTATTGGAGCACCCACAACTTCTGGAGGCAGGTCGTTCCACTGATTAATTGTTCTAACTGTCAAGAAATTCCTCCTTAGTTCTAGGTTGCTTCTCTCCTTGATTAGTTTCCATCAATTGCTTCTTGTCCTGCCTTCAGGGGCTTTGGAGAATAGGGTGACCCCCCTCTTCTTTCGGGGAGCCTCTTAGATATTGAGCCCACTGTACAGGCTTCTAAAGCAGGGGTGTCAAACTCAATTTCACTGAGGGCCGCATCAGCATTGCGGTTGCCCTTGGGGGGCCGGGTGGGTGTGGCCAGAGTGGGTGCAGCCTACTGGGTGGGCATGGATGGAATGGGCATGGCCAGTTCTACATCATTCGCGTCAAGGGTGCCTGTGGGGGCCTGGGCAGGAGTGGGACAGATCTGAGGGTCTCTGGCAGAAGGAGGTGGGACCGGGGCAAGTG